ATCAACTACAGGAAATTGGCCTGTAGTTTTCTTTCTGTGTTGTGTCTTTACCTGGTTTTGGTGTTAGAGTAATGCTAGCATCTCAGAAGGAGTTTGGGTGTGCTCCCTCTGGTTCTTGTGAAACTTCAGTAACCCCCCCTCTATCCCCTACAGACAAAGAGAAGCTTAAACCAGGATTCCTAAGCGTAGATAAGAACTTAGACCCCTTTTTCCCAGGTGGCGGTATCAGCTACAGGGACTTTAAAAAACACAGAGTCAGAATATTCGACCAAAAGACTAAAAAAGGGAGGTGGGTTGTGGAAAATGAATTATATGGTCTGTGCCTTTAAGAACTAGCCTCACAAAGAAAGGGGAGCACTCCTTCCAACCTCCCTGCAGAGGCTTGTAAACTTAGAATACACCTTGCTTTTGCATTCTGTACCTAAAGTCTCCGGTGGCTTCTTTGGGGATGCGATCTGGGCATAACACAGGCCAGTTTGGGCTATAGAGATCCTGTCTCAAAACCAAATGGGATGGGAATATGGTGGCACACACCTTTAATCTCAGCACTGGAGATAAAAGACCCAGACACAGTTTCCCCAGAAACTCAAAAGAGCTGAGGAAAGAGATCTTAAAAATGAGTCAGTTCCCCCTTCCTGGAGAGGGTAAAGACAGGTGTTTTCAAAAGAACAAAGTCAGGATGTCTGGTGGTAACCAATTAACCACGAGATAACATGACCAGACCCCAGAGATGAGTTGTAAAACTCCTGACAGGGCAAACAGATAAGGTAAAATAAGACAAAGTCCAGGCCCGGGAAAAACTGGACCAATCAAGGATGGACCCGTACTAACCCCCTCCCCTCTAAGAAATTTTATGGGTTTTGCCTATAAAAACTAACTTCCCCAAGAAAGAGTAACTTCTCCCTGCCTCACTGTGCTGAGGCCAGTGAATGCTGGAGATGAGTTCCCTGTCGCACAACTTGTAACAAAGATAAACCTTGCTTTTGCATTCTGGTATGCTTGTCCTTGGTGGTCTCTCTGGGGGTCACGATCTGGGCACAACAGTTCTGTTTTTGAATAGTTTAAGAAGGGTTTGCTGCATGCCTTCTCTGAGTGTCTGGTAGAGTTCTGCTGTGAATTCATGTGGCCTTGGACCTCCTACAGTTGGGAGGCTTTTATAACTGCTTCGATCTCCTCATCCATTATCACTCTGATTAGGTTGCTGGCTTCTTCTTGGTTTCACTTTGGTGGTTTGGCTGAATCTGGAAACTCCTTCATTTCCTTTAGGATTTCCAGAATAGTGGAGCCCAGGATTGTAAATATCCCCTATAACACCCTGAGTGTCTTTGGTGTCTCTTGTGATGTTTCCCTGTTCCTTTCTGAGTCTGTTAACTTGAGTCCTCTCCTTCTTTCTTTTGGTTACTTGGATCAAGGGTCTTTCCATTTCTTTTATCTTCTCCAAGAACAAGCTCTTAGGTTTGTTGATTCTTTGTATTATTTTCTTTGTTTCTATTCTGTTGATTTCTACTCTGATTTTCATGATTTCTTGCCATCAACTGTGTTTGAATTTGGTTTGTTCTTGTTTTTCCAATTCTTGTATTGCATCATTAAGCCATTTATTTGTGCTCTTTCTGAATTCTAAATTTCTGATTTAGGCACTTAGAGTTATAACTTCCCTGGTAGGGCTTCTTTCTATGTGTCTCAGGGCTTTTATTGGGTTGTGTTTTGATTTTCGTTTAGTTCCAGGAAGTTTTTTTTTGTTTCTTGATTTCTTCTTTGACCCGTTCATTCAATTATGAGCTGTTTAATCTCTATGAGTTTGTATCTTTACTAGAGATTTGTTGCTGTTAATTTTAAGTTTTATTGCATTGTGGTCAGATAAAATATGAGTGATTTCAATTTTTTTGGGGCCCAGGATGTTCTCTACATCAGAGAAGGTCCTTGCTGAGTAGATGTGTTTTCTTTGGGGTTAGGATATAATACTCTGCAGATATATATTAAGTACATTTGAAGTATGATGCCAATTAATTTTGATGTTTTTCTGTTTGTTTGTTTTTTTTTGGTGGGGGCAGATGACCTGCCCATTGGAGAGAGTCCGTATTGAAACCATCTATTATTAATGATTTAATGTTGATCTGTGTCTTAAAATCCAGGAGTAGATTTTTTTTTTTTTTTTATGAAATTGAAGCCCGGTGGCGGTGGTGGTGGTGGTGGTACATGCCTTTAATCCCAGCACTCGGGAGGTAGAGGCAGGTGGATCTCTGTGGGTTCAAAGCTAGCTTGGTCTACAGAGTGAGTTCCAGGACAGGCTCCAAAGCTACACAGAGAAACCTTGTCTCAAAAAAAACCCAAACCCAGCCGGGTGGTGGTGGTGCACGCCTTTAATCCCAGCACTCGGGAGGCAGAGCCAGGCAGATCTCTGTGAGTTCGAGGCCAGCCTGGGCTACCAAGTGAGTCCCGGGAAAGGCGCAAAGCTACACAGAGAAACCCTGTCTCGAAAAACCAAAAAAAAAAAAAAAAACAAACAAAAAAACACACACACACACACACACACACACACAAAAAAAAACAAACCAAAAAACCCAAACCCAAACCCAAACCCAAACCAAAAAAAAAAAAAAAAAAAAAATGAAATTGAGTTCATCAGAGTTCTGTGCACATGAAATTGAGTTCCTCTGAGCTCTGTGCATGTGTTTAGGGAGTAATGTCTTCTTGTCTAACTGCTTCCCTGATTAGAATGCAATGCCCTTCTTTATCTCTCCAGATTAGTTTTAGTTCAAAGTCTATTTTTTCAAATATCAAATTAATGACGCCTGTTTGCTTCATGGTCCCATTTGATTGGAGTGCTTTGGTTCCTCCACAGGAGGTGCTGCTGTGGGACGTCATTCTGGATGCTGTGAATATGTGTTGCTCTGATTGATTGATAAATAAAATGTTGATTGGCCAGTAGCCAGGCAGGAAGTATAGGTGGGATAAGCAGACAAGGAGAATTCTGTGATGAGGAAGGCTGAGTGAGGAGTGGCTAGCCAGACAAAGAGGAAGCAAGATGTGAAGGCAGAACTGAGAAAAGGTACCAAGCCACATGGCTAAACATAGGTAAGACTTATGGGTTAATTTAAGTGTAAGAACTAGTCAGTAATAAGCCTGAGAAAATGGCCATACAATTCCTAATTAATGTAAGCTTCTGAATGATTGTTCTATAAGTGGGACACCAGACTGCCAGGGCTTGGCAGCACCGGAGAAACATTCCAACTTACAAGGTGCCTATTTGTAAAGATAAGATGTGTCTTGAAGACAACAGATAGATGGATTTTGCTTCTTGATCCATTCAGTGAACATGAGTCTTTTGATTGGATAATTGAGGCCATTGATATTTAAAGTTATTGAAAAATATGTGCTGATTATGGTCATTGTATCACTGATTTTGGTGGTGTTGTTTGTGTTCTCAGTGTTACTTTGTGTTTCAATAATTATGACTTTGTCTTTTTTCCCACGGTCTCACTGCTTCCTTCCTTCCTCTCTTCAGCTTGAAATATCGCTTCCTATTTTCCTACAGGTTTTATTTTTTCGGAAATATTTTTTTTTTTTTTAGACAGGGTTTCTCTGTGTGTAGTTCTGGCTGTCCTGGAACTCACTCTCTAGAACTGGCAGGCCTCAAACTCACAGAGATGTGCCTTTCTCTGTCTCCCGAGTGCTGGGATTAAAGGTGTGCGCCACCACTGCCTGTGGCATATGATTTTCTATAGATTGTTATATAGTAGAAATATTTTCCTTCTCTCTCAGTTATGGTGTGTGGTTTTTGGGGTGTGTTGTACTAGGCTGATCTTGAACTCAGAAAGTGTATACTATGAAGTACCTGTGTCTTCCAAGTCTTGATGGTGGCCTATATCAGGAGGTTCCTGATCTTCTGGGAAATCATTCACAGTGTCTTCACAAAGCTTGGAAGCAGCTGCATTCTGTGAAGTAATTATGTATTCAAAGCCCTGATATTGGCCATGGGGAGGGGATGGCATTGAACCTGTAGAAACTGCATCTTGTGTCAATGAATAAAGCAGATTTCTGTGTTCATAATACCATGGGTCTTCAGTAAAACATTCTTTTTTTCAGAGACCTTCTCATCCCTTTAAGACAATATAAATTTATTAGCCAGGGAGCATATTCTGCTCTTCTGGGATATCAATCATGACATTTTCACAAAGTTGGCCTCATAAAGTGTATCATGTGAAGTAACTGTGTCTTCCAAGTCTTGATATTGTGAGGTTCCTGCTCTCAAGAACATCATTCAAAATGTACTGACATAGCTTGGATGCAGCAGCTGCATTCTGTGAAGTAATTGAGTTTCAAAGCCCAGATATTGGCTCTGGTGCCAGGATGGCTTTGAACCTGCAGAAACTGCATCTTGTGACGATGAGGAAAGCAGACCTGTGTGTTTGTGTGCTCTGGGTCTTCAGGAAAAAGTTGACTTTTTTTTTTAAAAAAAATCTTGATATCCTCGCATTGTTCTCCCTTTAAGACAATATAAATTTATTAGACAAAAGTTATTTTTACCATTCTAAAAACAGTTTCCCTCTTTGTCCTCCCCAAATTTGTAGAGCCTGTATCATGATACTGCTTTAAATATGTTCTTATTTCTTAAATTACTAGAGTAAATCTTATGTATTTGGGTTGGGGTGATACCTCAGTCTGTAAAGCACTTGCCACACAAGAATGAAACCTGAGTTCCATCCTCAGCACAGGTCCCAAGCTGGGCATGCTTGCAGTCCTGTGCTAGCGAGACAGAGTTGGATCCTGGGCCCTCTGGCCAGTGATCCCAGCTCAATCTGTGAGCCTCAGGACAGTGAGAGACCCTGTTCCAAAGCCCAAGCTGAACAGCTCCTGAGGGACCACACCTGAGTTTCAACTCTGACCCTGCGCGCACACACACACACACACACACACACACACACACACACACACACCCTGCCCACTATACACACACTCACATTAACAAAAGTTAAACAGCTGTTACTTACCCAGGCGTCTTACTTTTCAGAAATATCATCTCTGACATCTGACACATCCCACATAGCCAGGAAAGAGCCAAAGTGTGAAACTTCCTCTGCCTCTTGCAGGTAGGGTTTATAGAAAAATGAATAATGATGGGCAATGGCTACAAGGAACATTTCAATGCAGACTATGAAATCCTACAACAGCCATGAAAATATCCAACATCTTTGTGCTTAAATCTAGTTTTTCAAACTGCTAACTTTTTCAAAGTTACTTTGGGTGTCAATAACTTTTAAAAATATAATCCAGATTATATTCATTTTTCAACATGCTTTTTTTTTCCCACTTCAAAACATGACAAGATGCCGGGTGGCAGTGACACACACTTTGATCCCAGCACTTTGGAGGCAGAGCCAGGAGGATCTCTGTGAGTTCGAGGCCAGCCTGGTCTACAGAGTGAGATCCAGGGCAGGAACCAAAACTACAGGAAGAAACCCTGTCTCGAAAAACAAAACAAAACAAAAAAACTAAAACATGACAAGCCAAGATTTACATCTTTCTGCTTTCCCTCAGTCAAGTATTTGCTAATTCATCACCTAAGTAGTGCAATGAAGATCTTCACAACCAAAACTCTTTTGAGAAAGAGACTTATTTGGGGAGGAGGAGTCCAGGAAAGTGACTGCCTCTGCCAGGGTGGAAAGAAGAGCCACCAACTGACCAGGCAGGCTGGTTTATATAGGATCTCTTGGGGGTGGAATCAATCAGGCAATGGTTAGTTTTTCTGCCCAGGGATTGATCAGTTTTGTGGGCTAGGGGCAGAGATGTCCCTGATTTCTTTAAAAGGCCCAAACTGTGTTTCTTTCACTGGCCTTTCTTGGCTTTTTGATTCTAATTCTAAGGCCAGGGCACATTTCTTTCACTGACTCTGATTCTAGGGACCAAGAGTGTTTCTTTGGTACTGGTTTCAGAGTCAGGGTCTATTTCCTTGTTTCTGGGTTTGGGGATAAAGTGTTCCTTTCTCTGATTCAGTTCCCAGACCCAGGCTGTGTTTCTTTCCCTGGTTCTGGGCTCTAGGGCCAGAGTGCTACTTTCCTGCTCTGTGATTGGTTGGTTTCACAGGTCAGTTGGCCAGGGGCAGAGATGGCTCCGATCTGAGCCAAACTGTATTTCTTTCACTGGCCTTACTTAGCTTTTTGACTCTCATTCTAAGGCCAGGGCACATTTCTTTCACTGGCTCTGATTCTAGGGACCAGCAGTGTTTCTTTGGTCCTGGTTTCAGAGTCAGGGCATGTTTCCTTGGTTCTGGGTTTGAGGATAAATTGTTCCTTTCTCTGGCTCAGGTCCCAGATTCAGGTTGTGTTCCTTTCCCTGGTTCTGGGCTCCAGAGCCAGGGTGGGTTTCTTTAGCCAGCCCTTTTTCCCTACACAGATATAAGTGGACCAGGAATAAAATCATACCAATCAGTACCTATGTGCCTTTTCTCTAGGGTTCCCGCTCCTCACCTCGGAGTAAGCTAACAGTCTTGCCCATGGTTTGCACGATGGCAGGTTTAGGGCAACAGTAGGTCAAACAGCTTAAACAGTAAAAACCCCCGATTCACTGACAGTACTACTTACCTGCAGGCCCATGGCCACAGCTTCCACGCTCTGCCATTCCCCTAAAGGCTTTTCAGAAATCACTCCTGCCTTCACCAACAGTGCTATAAGGCCTGCTTGCCTGTAAGTCAAGAAAAGGTAAATGTCAAATCTAGATCATAAAATGACCAACTGTTTATGGAATTAGGGGCTCGGGAGGGGGCTCGGTGTGTAAAGCACTTGCTGCACAAGTGTGAGGATCTGAGTTAGTCACAGAAGCCAGGGAAGGCTGGCATGGTGGTGCACATCTGTAAACCCCGTGCTCCTGCAGTGAGCTGAGAGGTGGGGAAAGAGAATCCTGGGAAGACTGCAGGTCGGCGATCCTGATGTGTGCAGAGTGACAGTTAAGAAACCCCATCTCAAATGAAAGTCGAGGACCGATACCCAAAGCTGTCCTCATTTCCACATGCACACATGGCATGGACATGTCGCCACTCACACAATAAACACATACATATCATATACACAAAGAGATTAAAATGTTCCCCTTAAAAACAGTTAATGCCTCAACATACCCCAGGACTCCCCACTGTTCTGCCTTCAGGGCATATTTCCAAACAAGGTCTGCTTATATTAAATATACTCACCCAGCTTTACAAATTTATTCTACTACCTTCATAAGATGAATTTCATTATGAATTCTCAGAACCTCATCATTTGATTCGTACCTTTTTTTGCTTTGAAATCATGTAGAATTAATTAGATTCTAACAGCTTGTAAGTAAAGGCCTGATACTCAAGTGCGTTTACATGTGTATTCACTACTAGGATTTTATTTTATCATTCATTCATTTAGATACAGGGTCTACTAATGTAATAATCCTGGCTGTTCTGGGACTTGTTATGCTGACCACCTATCCTTGAACTCAGAGATCTGGCCGCCTCTGCCTCCCAAGTGCTGAGATTAAAGGTATGTGCCACCATGCCTGGATAATGAGTAGGATAAAAAAATAATATTTATTGCTGGCTGTGTGTGTGTGTGCACACATGTAACATGTTGTGTGTGTGTGGAGGTCAGAGGACAGCCTGCAGGAGTCATTTCTTTCCATCTACCTCGTGGGCTCTTTGATGGAACTCCAACTGTCAGGTTGGTGATGGCAAGCATCTTTTCCTGCTGATCCATTTCACTGGCCCTATTAATTTCAGTTTTGTTTTATCTTCCTTTTTAAGGCTTACTTCTTATGATTTGTGTGTCAGGGTGCCAGAGATCAGCTTTGTGGAGTTGGTTCTCTACTTCCACCTATACAGGGGTCCTGGGGATTAAACTCAGTTCATTAGACGTGCATAGCAAGTGCCTTTCCCCAGGGAGCTAGTCTGCCAGCCCACAGCATATCTGCATTATAATACCATCGAGTCCCAGAAGTCTCTATAGCATATGATGTACGCCTTCAACTGCTAATGATTACTTCTGGCAGTGCAATTTCATGAATTCCTTCTCCTTTGCCCTACTGAATTGCTAAACTGGATCTGACTGTTTCTATAACTCTTAGTACCTATCCTGTCCTAACACCATGGCTAGTTTGCTGTTTGCTTTGTGACATTGAGGACAGACAGTAGAGTTGTGAATATACCATGCAGACACTCTGATGGATCTCCAGCCTTGCCTTGTGTTTTAAAGGACACTCACTGATAAACATTTCCCTGTCATTAAATATTTTCTCCCAAATTGATACTGTTTGATTTATGGCAGAGTTTAGGTAATTTATTCATTTTGAGACAGGGTCTCACTATGTAGCTGACTGGCCTCAAACTTGCTATGTAGACCCTGCTAGCCTTGAACTCATAGAGAGTCACCTGCTTCTGCCTCCCTGGGGAGTGCTGGGATTAAAGGTATACACCACCACACCAACATCAAGATATTTAGGCTATCTCAAATTATCTTCGTCTTTTAAATGTCACAGTGGCCATCTGACCACTTCTTTGATTGTTCAGATACAAGATAACACAATGTGGCATAGGCTGCTCCACAACTTGCTTTATAGAGCAGGCTGTCCTCAAACTCACAATGTGGGATTCTCTTGCCTTACCCTGAATGTTGGGATTACAGGTATGTACCACCACACATGACTAAGATTATTTGTTTTTTTATCTTTTTAAAACTATTTAATATTTATTTTAATGTGCATGCGTTTTGCCTGCATGTATGTATATGATGCATGTGCAGTATCTGCAGATACTAGAAGAGGGCATTAGAACCACCTGGATCTGAAGTTACAGAAGGTTGTGAGCCACTAATCTTGTTAGTGTTGGGTCCTGAGCAAGAGTAGCAAAGCGCTCTTGTCTGCTGAGCCATCTCACCATCCCTGTTTTTGTAAATCTTACAAAAGCTGAAGGGATGGCTTTTTAAAAAGATGTCCTTGTGTGTGTCTGACTGCAAGTATGTGCATATGCTCACAGAGGCCAGAGGAGGACTTCAGACCCCTTGGAGCTAGAGTTACATGAGGTTGTGAGCCGCCAGACGTGGGTGCTGGGGACCAAACTGCGGTCCTCTGGATATGCAGCACACTCTCTTAACTGCTGAGCCTCTCTCCAGCCCCAGAGACATCTTCCTAGTTCAGGCTGGTCTTGAATGGTAGTCCTGCCTCAGTCTTCCAAGAGCTGGGATTACAGACAGGCACCACTGAGCCTGGCATTGTATTCACATTATTTAAAAAACTCCCTTAACCAACAGTTTATTGGCATTTATAAAATGAGAATATTTAAGAGCAAGCAGTACTTACCAAAACAAGACAAAGGCTACCAGTTTGACACAAAGAAATTTGCCATCGGGTTTTATAGGGCTGAGCTCTTCCTTCAGCACGTTGTAAAACAGCAGGAGGCAGTACATGGCAAACTAGAAACAAAAGCCACATTCAACATTCTGCAGTAGGAAGACAGTGACAGAACCATTCGTTAAAGCCGAAACCAGAGTCTACAGTAATGTTCCCGGCAGAGCTTAGAGCTAATCAGCCGACGTTTTAGTGCTTTTAATAATATGTTGCAGAAGATGCATATATGTGAGATTTCAAGAGAGGTATGTCACATTTTTCCTGAATATGTTTCTAAGTGTTCACGTACTGGAACTCAAAGCAATAAACAAATGATATGATCGAAAGGTTTCCTTCAGTCAAAGAAAAGGCAACACAAATTACCACCACGTTTATAAATACTACTTGATTATTATTATTAGCTAGTCTCTCATGCAACATTTACACAACACACACAGTTTATAAGGCAACACGTTAAATAAGCACAGTTTCAGCAAAACTGTGATCATGAAATCTGCATCATACAAACCGATTTCCTTGAGAGCAGTGTGTAAGTCCAGCTGGCCTTACTTCTTAAAATAAGTGCTCACATATTTAGAGTCAGTTATAATAACCAAACAGCATTTCAACAGCAAGAAGCATTTCTGGAAGCTTACTTTCCCCATTAAGACCAGGAGATACTTTATGCTCATTTAAAATACTTCAGGATATGAGAGCAGTAGAGCAAGAACCAAGCTCAGACCCTTGCACTGGAGCAGGACCACCCAGGGTGCATGTCACACACTCCCGAGCCCTGGGTTCTAGCTCTAGTACCACTAGAAACAAACAGACTCTTAGCACTGCGCCATTTCTCTGTACATAGGAACTGTGACCCTCATGCTGGGATCTGACCCAGGGCTGTGTGATAGGCAAACACTCCAGGCACATTCCACAGTCATAACCCAATTTTCTAACATCTGTCATGAACTAAAATGAAATGTTGTTCCCCAATATCTTTTTCAACTGAAAGTAGCTAACTTTTGTGTATGTTTCATAAGTTTTTTTTTAAATGGAATTCTTTTATTTATTTATTTATTTATTTAGTATTTATACAGTGTTCTGCCTGCATGTGTCCCTGCAAGCCAGAAGAGGACGCCATTACAGGTGGTTGTGAGGCACCATGTGGTTGCTGGGAATTGAACTCAAGTCCTCTGGAAGAGCAGCCAATGCTCTTAACCGCTGAGCCATCTCTCCAGCCCTGTTTCATAAGTTTTACTTTTAGTATCTGTCTAAATGCCAATGGGAAGACCAAACTATGCCTACCAGGTTTAAAGTGTTTCCAGTCCTTTCTTATAATGGGCATTACATCCCAGAAGGCAAGAACACTTCTACCATTTCTTTAGAGTACATTCCCAGAAAAAAGACTGCTGGTCATGGAGATGAACATGAGAGAAAGCTCTGGAGACAGACCCCATTTATTTCCATTATAAACTTCTTTCCTTCCTTCCTTCCTTCCTTCCTTCCTTCCTTCCTTCCCTTCCCTTCCCTTCCCTCCCTCCATCCCTCCCTTCCTTCTTTTTTTTTTTTGGTGCTTTGAGACATGGTTTCTTTGTGTAGCCCAGGATTTCTCTGTATAGCCCTGGCTGTCCTGGAACTCACTTTGTGGATCAGGCTGGCCTCAAACTCAGAGATCTGCCTGCCTCTGCCTCCCAAATTCTAGGATTAAAGGCATGCAATGCCATGCTCGGCTCCATCATTAACTTCTAGTAATTTATGTATTAGAAGTGTTTACTATACTGTAAAAAGCACTATCCAAAGACTTTAGATGAAATACACATCAGCTTAAGAGAGCCTTTCAGTTCCTAGAACAGCACTCATTAAAAAAAATCAGTTTTTATGTTCCTTTAATTCTAAATATAGATCAGAAATTTGAATTCTTGCTTTTTTTTTTTTTTTCTGGAGCTGAGGACCGAACCCAGGGCCTTGCACTTGCTAGGCAAGCGCTCTACTATTGAGCTAAATCTCCAACCCTGGTTGGTTGCTTTTTTGAGACAAGGTTTCTCTGTGTAGCCCTGGCTGTCCTGGAACTCGCTCTATAGACCAGGCTGGCCTCAAACTCAGAGATCTGCTTGCCTCTGCCTCCTGAGTGCTGGGACTAAAGGCATGCACCACTGCCTGGCAAACTCTTCCATTTTTATTTAAACTCTATCTTCTCATGCCAATTAGACTTTTTCCTCTCACTGAATAGGCCGATTGCATTATGTTTTGTTTATTTAGAAGGCACACCATGCTTATCCCCACAAGGCTGTGTGGTCACAAGAGCAAATAGCTCTGCATGTAAGTCACCAAATCATTCATGAACATATTACTGTACTTCTATATTGTATAAAGGTATACATTAAAGCTGTTTCAAGTTCCATGTACAAAGTAAAAGGTAATTTTTTTCTCAAGAAATTGTGCCTGATAATATTTAGCAACAGAAAGAAATTTAGTACAATTAAGAAGAAGGATGATTCACTTACCAGTTGTGACAAATAATTTATTATAACCAAGTAAGTCCAAGCATTGGAGAAACCTAAGTTCCCTTTGCCATAGACACCAACAAGCTCAAATACCCTTAAAAATGGCAAAAATAAACTTTATGACTGACCAAGTAAACCTTATCTTAATATGTACACTTTAGAGACTTATTTTATGCATATGAATGTTTTACCTGCATGTATACCTGTGCACAATGTGCATGCAATGCCCTTGGTGACCAGAAAAGGGCACTGGATACTCTGGAACTAGATTTCACTAAACCTCTGCAAGAGTATCAAGTGCTGTTAATACTGAATGCTCCACTGAGTGCTCTCCAGCCCTGAACACATTCTTAAGGTGTAGTGGTAGCAACACTTAAAATTTGGAGTCCTTTTACTTCAGTAAGTCTATGGAAAATTACTTGACTTTGGTCACTGACAGAGAAACATTTTTCTAGATATGTGATATGATTATTCCTTTTAATTTAAAGAAATTATAAACTGAGAACCATTAAGCTAGAGAATAATCATTAACTTCAAAAACAAGGCCTAATTTTGGAAAACTTGACTGATAATCATTAACTACAGCTCACCTTTTCCTGTAAATTGCAGGTAAGTATCTGAAGACCCAGACACTCCCACCCTGCATATAAATTTATCATAAGTATTAAGTTATATGCTCACCCAGTTTCTAAGCATCAGGGAAATGAAGCAAAATTCTATAAATAATTCTAGTTCAAAGGCTAGTAAAGAGTTGAACTGTTTTTTCTTTTTAAATATGGCTTTCTTTTATTTTGTGAGCTGCTGAAAGTTAAGATCTAATAGATAAATTATAAATTGACATTTTGGATTTTTTAGGGAACAGTTTCCCAGATAGTTTGATTATGTTTCATATTTTGACATCAAATCATTTTTGTGTGTGTTTATTTTTAGACTCGGTCTCTCTATGTAGACCAGGCTAGCCTCAAACTCACAGAGATCTGCTTCCCTCTACCTCTTGAGTGCTGGGATTAAAGGTGGCACCAGTTAAAGACAGTGTTCCTAATAAACTCTTAACAAGGTAGAAAATAAATCTGTGTTTATTTAGTTTAACCCAACTAAAGGAGTTTTGGTTTTTCTGATGTGTTGTACAGTCTGCTCTCAAAAGAATGTGAATCTCATGGCGATCCTTTGCATTGTTCATTGTAATGGAATCTAGCTTTTTTTTTTTTAAAGATTTATTTATTTATTATGTATATAGCATGTATGACTGCAGGTCAGAAGAGGGCACCAGATCTCATTACAGATGGTTGTCAGCCACTATGTGGTTGCTGGGAATTGAACTCAGGACCTCTGGAAGAGCATGCAGTGCTCTTAACCTCTGAGCCATCTCTCCAGCCCCAAGGAATCTAGCTTTTATATATGTATTTACACTATTTTTTTTTTTTTTTTTTGGTTTTTCGAGACAGGGTTTCTCTGTGTAGCTTTGTGCCTTTCCTGGAACTCACTATGTAGCCCAGGCTGACCTCGAACTCACAGAGATCTGCCTGCCTCTGCCTCCTGAGTGCTGAGATTAAAGGTGTGCGCCACTACCGCCCGGCTAAAATTTATGACTACATTTTCATATTGATATCTTTTTTTTCTCCCTGAGCTGAGGACCAAACCCAGGGCCTTGTGCTTGCTAGGCAAGCACTCTACCACTGAGCTAAATCCCCAACCCTTGTATTTACACTATTAATCAACATTGTTTTTCTACTTGTTTTTTCCATTAAAGAACATAGATTGTTTTTAAGACAGGGCCCAGTCTGGCCTTAAACTCTCGATTCTCCTGCCTCTACCTTCAAGTGCTATGATTATTTGCCATGAATCACTACACTTGGTTTCTGTCATGCTGCGAATTAAACCCAGGGCTTTTTGCATACAAGGCAAACACTCTTATCAACTGAGCTATATTCCCAGCCATGCATCATGAAGATTAAAAAAAAAAAGCTAAGGGAAGGCCATACTTACAATGCTGTAAGAGTGGTAATTGGTCTGATTAGAGTGTACTGCAGGACTCCCAGCTTGCATCGAAAGAGCAGCGTTCTGCAGAAGAAAGAGAACATAACATCTCAACTATTCAGTGGCATCAGAACATGGCAAAGCCTCCAAATTAAAATCACGCTGACAGCTGACACTAATTATATTGAATCCTGCCAATTTCGTTCTCCTAAATGATAGTAGGGTAAGAATGTGGTGGCAACATGGAAATCTGAAGACCACTTTGAAAATAATAACTTTATCTTCTAAAGCCTCCCTTCAGCTCCACTATAGTGCAACACAGAACAGAAGGAACAGAAGAAGGTGCTGGGACCTTGGTCTTTTCCTGTTTCCCTCTCTTGCCATGATACACTGCAAATCAACAGGACCAAATGAACTGAGTCTGTGAGTCAAATAAAACTGATTATCTCAGGAACTTTGCTGATAGAATTGATAGTGATGGCTCTAACTAACACAGGAGAAAAACGGAGGCACAAAGGAACTGTGAGCTTGTGCACATGCATGTGTATAAAGCATTGACATTTAGGATGCAGCTTCCTGGTGAATGTGTTCACAGAAAGATTTACTGGGACAAGGCAAACCACCCTGAGGGTGGGTGGCCATCCACAGGCTGGGGCCCTGGACTGAACATGAGGCAGTGAGTTGAGTTCCGGCTTTCCTCTCTGCTTCCTGACAGCAGATGCAGTATGACATCATGCACCTGCCACGTGCCTTTCCCACCATAAGGGACTGCACCCTCAACTGTGTTCCTAAGTTGCTTTTGTCAGTGACTTTGTCTCAGCAGGGAGACAAGTACAAGACAATTAGCTGCGTGATCATGTGCATAATCTTTTAGGCTCCAATTCCCAACTGTAAAAAAGATGCTGATTAAACATTTTTTAAGGTTTTCTCCCTCATTACATTGATGAACTTTTCTACTGGGGTAAGCAATGTAAAAATAAATAAAAAAAACTTCTCAACATGTACATTGTAAAAATATATTTTATTATCTTTCAAACTGTATTACGTGCTACGTAGGGTAAAGGCTCTGCCTACTGTCCCTGCCCCTTGCAGAGAGCTGACTGATATTTAAGACCCACACAGAGGCCCATCAAAACCAAACACACTTACTCTCCCATCACCCATGGTGGACAGCAGCAGAATGGAAAGAGATGCTGTTGCTGATCTTTAGATTCCAGGTGTAGTATCACGTTTGGCAACCGTATTGTTAAATAGTTGTTAAAGAAGATCATAAAGTTATAGATCACGTAAGCTTCATAACAGTCCCTCCAGGTATCAATATATATTGCGATTTTTGGGAATTTCAAGGCAAACCACTATGGAAAAGCATAGATGTTAAAGAGAAACGCTACTATTTCAGAAAATGTTACCGAAGACATTATTTTTCTTTTTGTTTTTTGTTTTCTTTTTTGTGGGGGACAGGATCTATGTAAACTGGATGTTCTGGAGCTCACTATGTAGACAAGCTGGCCTCCAACTTAAGAGTTCCACCTGAGTGATGGGATTAAAGGGATGCAACACCACATCTGGCTAAAGCCATTTTCTTTAGTTTTGTCTACTGTGGAAAATGTTTTTTCCTTTTATTTTCTTTTTTGGGGTGGGGTGGGGTACAAATAAAAGACTTAGTAACTAAAAAGCATGATAGTGAACAATCAGCATCCTTATGAGAATCTGCATCTATGGATTCAGCCAACCCTGGAGCAGAAATATTTGTAACAGCTCCTGACCCCAGGTCTGCATTCTGAACTCACTATACAGACAAGGCTGGCCTCGAACTCATGGAGGTCCCCTTAAATGCCTATGGCACTGATATTCTATCAGGTGTCATAAGCCATTTAGAAATGACTGTAAGGACAAGGGAGACACACTAATCCATATGCTGATGCTAACCATTTTATATAAGGGAGCTGAGCATCAGCACATTTTGATGCCTGGGGTGGGAAAGTATTCCCTTGTGGCCACGTATCAATGAGGGTAATTTATAATATTATATTCGTTAAAAGATTAAGAGCCACTAATCTTAAATTTAAGCAACTGAACAAAAAAAAAACAGCTACACATTAAAAATACTTGAAATATCTGCATTTTTCATTATATTATCTTCCTTACCAATATTAAAAACAAGTGAACTTGGCCAGAGACAGAGGCAGGGGGCTCTCTGTGAGTTCAGGACCAACCTGCTCTACATAGTGAGTTACAGGACAGCCAGAACTACATAGTGAGACCCTGTCTCAAAAATATAAAAATAAATAAGTAAAAATAGAAAGAAAGAAAAAGCTGGGTTGTGGTGGTGCATACCTTTGATCCCAGCACTCAGGCGGCAGAGTCAGGTGGATCTTTGAGTTTGAGGCCATCCTGGTCTACAGAGTGAGTTCCAGGATAGCCAGGGCTACACAGAAAAACCCTGTCTCAAAAAAAAAGAAAAGAAAAGAAAAGAAAAGAAAAATTTCACTATTAATCTCTTTTAAAAGTCAATATCATGTGTTCATTACTTTATTAAGCATTCTTTAGTAAGCATAGTTAAGTGTCAGAAAAGAAGCAAGGTGGTGGTGGCACAAGCCTTTAATCCCAGCACTCACTGGGGAGAGAGAGGCAGGTGGGTCTCTGAGTATGAGGTCAGCCTGGCCTACAGTATGAGTTCCAGGACAGTCAGGGCTACATGGAAAAACCCTGTTTCAAACCCCCCCCCAAAAAAAAAAGTGTCATAAAAGAATTCTTTTTTAAAAGATTTATTTACTTTATTACTTTATGTGCATGAGTATTTTGTCTACTTGTATGCATTACTAATACTGCTTGGTATTTCCAAAATAATTAGTAGCAATTAAAAAGATTTACTTTTTAATAAATTCTATGTATGTGTCTGTGTGAATATGTGCATGTGTGAGTGTGGGTACCTGCTGAGGTCAGAAGAGGCTGCTAGATTCCTTGGGGCTGGAGTTACAGAGTGTGGTAGCACACACCTTTAGTCCCAGTAACTTGGGAGGCAGAAGGTCTCTGTGAGCTCCAGGACAGCCTGACAAAAGAACCCTCCTCCTCATCCTTCTCCTCCAAGACAAACAAACAAAAAGAACATTTACGTAGTATCTCTGCCCATTCCTAGTGTGTTATTTGCTTTCTGTATCTGATTCTTGTTTGCTGTTTATGAGCTATCTTTATAGGTATTAGCTCCTTTTAAGCTAGATATTGTTTGCAAGTCTTTTTCCCAGTAGGTAGGCTGCTGCTTGAGGTCACTGATATTTTTCCTTTGCTCTGCAGAAGGTTTTGATTGATATAGTTGTTCTATCCTTAGGGGAGCTCTAGATATGGCAAGTAAAATAGTGTAGGTGTTTTGTGTGGAAAGCAAAGACGAGAAAAGGTCGGTGTCCAGCACAAATGCCATCTTCCCAGGGCTTTGTGACCTAGGGCTGTTTGAATCTGTGGGTGCACATGTGGTGGTATTGTGTTCCCCAAAATATTGTGCACCCCAATAAACTTATCTGGGGTCAGAGACAGAACAACCACAATATTAAACATAGAGGATAGGCAGTGGTAGCACACGCCTTTAATCCTAGCATTCCAGAGGCAGAAATCCATGTGTTCAAGGATATAGCCAAGCATGGTGACTCACGCCTTTAATCCCAGAAAGCGAACCTTTAATCCCAGGGAGTGATGGCAGAAAGCAGAAAGGTATATAAGGAGTGAGGACCAGGAACTAGAAGCATTTGGCTGGTTAAGCTTTCAGGCTTTCCAGCAGCAGTTCAGCTGAGATTCATTCTGGATGAGGACTCAGAGGCATCCAGTCTGAGGAAACAGGATCAGCTGAAGAATTGGCGAGGTGAGGTAGCTGTGGCTTGTTCTGTCTCTCTGATCATCCAGCTTTCACCTCAATAACTGGCCTCAGGTTTGATTTTATTACTAAGACCTGTTAAGATTCCTGCTACGTGCACAGGTGCCATCTGTTGTAGAATGTGGCAGATCAAGTCCTGCTGACTCATGTTTTGTTTTTGTGGGCTAAACTTATGGTGTGATTTTAATTTAATTTTTTTTAGAATGTATTTACGACGTTTCTCCATTTCCTTTTCTCCCCGCAAAGCCTCCCATATATCCCTCCCTATTCTCCTTCAGATTCATGGCCTCTTCTCATTGTTATTGCATGCACATATGTACACATATATATTCCTAAATGTAACCTGCTCAGTCTGTATAATGCTACCTGTATTTATGTTTTTAGGAGCTGAGCATTTGGCACTAGACAACTAATTATTATGCTTTTCCATGGAAAAGACCATCTCTCCTACTTCCAGCTTTCCTCAGTTGCCTATAGTTCTTTGTGTAGGGTTGAGGCCCTTGGTGTTGTCCTTGTTCAGCTCACATTTGGGCAGTCATGTTGGTGAGACTTTAGGGGTGTAGCTTCTGACATTACTAGGAGACACAATCTCACAGCAAAGTCCCTGATCCTCTGGGTCTTACAATCTTCCTGTTCCCTCTTCTGCGATGTTCCCTGAGCCTTAGGTGTGGGAGTGTTTTGTTGATGTGTCCACTGGGACTGGGCTCCACAACTCTGCATTTAGTTATGGTTTTCTGTAATGGTCTGTTGCAGACAAGTTTCCTTGATGAGGAAACTTGATGAGAAACTACACTTATCTGTGGGTTTTCGGACAGATATTTATAGACTGTTGTTAGGGATTATGCTGGTTTAATAAGTCAGTGGTTGTAGATTCTCCTCCAGTAATCACTGACACCAAGTAGTTAGCCAGGTTTCCATTCCCAGGCAGGTTTCCTCTTGTTGAGCAGATCTTCAGTCCAGTTAGAGCTGTTGCCAAGGTGTGCATGCCGCTGTTGTGCCTTAGGGTCATCATGGCATGCGGGTTGTTGACGTGGTTCTTCCATAGCTGGGTAGGACTTTGGAAGCTTGCATGGTACCTTCTGGTGTGGTGTTCTGAAAGTCACTGGCAAAGCCAATGGTTCAGGGGCTTCTCTTAGTTTTGTTACCAGTCTCACATTTGTGTGCCTTGCACAGTGAGTTGATTTTGGTGTCTGGTGTAAAATTAGGGTCTGGTTTCATTCTTTGGTATTGGAATCCAGACTTCTTGGGACAATTCACTGGGTGGAAGCTATTTTTTCTTAGTGTGCCCACTTGGTGCTCTTGTTAGCAATTATTCTGACTTTCCATTTTGTTCTACTTGTCTGGTTTTTGTTAGCGTCATGCTTTTTTTCCTTTAAACATTTTTATTTATGTGTTTGGGTGTTTGGCCTGTATACATGCCTGTGCACCAGTGTGCATGCCTGTGCCTGAGCTGGTCAGAAGAGGGCACTAAATTTCACAGAACTACAGTTACAGATGGTTTCAAGTTACCATGTTGGTGCTGGAAATCAATCCTGGATCCTCTGGGAGAGCAGCCAGTGTTCTTGACCACTGAGCAAACTCTCCAGCCCACCACCCTGTTGACCATTGTAGCTTTGTAACAATTTTTTCTTAAGACATGGGGTATTGGTTTTTGACAAAGAAGCCAAAACTATACAATGGAAAAAAGAAAGTATCTTCAACAAATGGTGCTGGCATAACTGGATGTCAATATGTAAAAGTTTACAAATAGATCCATATGTGTCACCATGCACAAAACTCAAGTCCAAATAGATCAAAGACCTCAACATAAATCCAGTTACACTGCACTTGATAGAAGAGAAAATAGGAAGTACCCTTGAACGCATTGGCACAGGAGATCACTTCCTAAATATAACACCAGCAGCACAGACACTGTGCACAACAATTAATAAATGGGACCTCTTGAAACTGAGAAGCTTTTGTAGGGCAAAAGACACGGTCAATAAGACAAAAGACAGCCTACAGAATGGGAAAAGACTTTCACCAACCCCACAGCTGACAGAGGACTAATCTCCAAAGTATATAAAGAACTCAAGAAACTAGACATCAAAATACTGAACAATCCAATTAAAAAATGGGCTAAAGAGCTAAACAGAGAATTCTCAAAAGAAGAATCTCAAATGGCTGAAAGACATTTAAAGAAATGCTCAACATCCTTAATCATCAGAGAAATGCAAACCAAAACAACTCTGAGATATCACTTTACACCTGTCAGAATGGCTAAGATCAAAAATATTAATGACAGTCAGTGTTGGAGAGGATGTGGAGCAAAGGGAACACTCCTCCACTGTTGGTGGGAATGCAAACTTGTACAGCCACTGTGGAAATCAGTATGGTGGTTTCATAGAAAACTGGGAATCGATCTACCTCAAGACCCAGCCATACCACTCTTGGGCATATACCCAAGGAATGCTCAATCATACCACAAAGATACATGCTCAACTATGTTCATAGCAGCACTATTTGTAATAGCCAGAACCTAGGAAACAACCTAGATGCCCTTCAACCGAATAA